ACAAACCACATGGAGCCAAGCTGATGGAACCAGAGTCCTGGAGCTGGAGAAGCCAAGTGGAGACCCACACCAGTGCTGAAATGTTTCCACCGCCACTGGATCCACAAGACTTTCCACCAACTGGCCTGTGATCTTCCTGCATTTGGCATCATTGCATGTGTTATGTGAGTCTGAAGAGGAATTTAAAGACTGGCATCAGACATATGGGCTAATATTAAACTTATGGACTTGAACTGGACCGGGCTGGGATGTTTTCTTAATATACAATTACTCTTTGGTATAAAGTTCTCTCTACACACATGAGTGTCTATAAATTTGTTTCTCTTTGTCAACCCAGAGTAATACACTATGCCACCAGGGCTCCTATAAGAACCCAGCAATAAGAAAATGGAAATATGTAGAATGATAGGTATAATTAACACAATAAAATCCTAATTCTGAAAGATGTTAGTTAATAGGAAGGAAAATAATAGAAACTCCTACAATAGATCAAAAAACAAACAAGCCCACTGTTCATGCAGTTGATTGAGACTCACAGTGACCCTGAAAATACATGTCCGATATGGGGTTGCTAGGAGCCAGCAGTGGTTCGATGGTCACGTTTTCTTTTTTATTGTTTTTGCTTTTTAAGGTAGTATGTGCACTTCTGCTAAGCAAATTGGGGAAGCATTCCCCTGGTTTGGGCAGAGTGTAGGGAGAACTGGACATCATCAAGACGCCCCGGGAGATAACAATGGCGCACTTGAGGCCAAAAGGAACACCCTTTTGGCTTCCCATCGCACCCTGAGTAGGCCAAGGTTGGAAGTCAGATGGGACAGCTTGTTCAGCCCGCCTTCAGAAACAAGAGTAGTGGGTAAGCACCCAAAGGTGTTATAAGAAGGTATTTGAAAAAAAAACTCTAAAAATGTGCATAGATTTTAAACCTGTGGTCAATCTGCATGTTTCCTGTATTTCTCGTTTTGTTAGCCCTCATAAGGGCTTTCACAGGGATCAGCAATTTAGTCTTAAATGAGAAGAGTCGGAGTCACTGAGCTTGAGCGCAAAAACTGCCTGGAGACCTAGTGGAGACTAGAGGATGCCTTCTGCCCCCCCAGGTGAGTGCCCTAAGCTGCCCTAGTCCCAGGAGTCACTTCTCACCTCAAACAATATCACCTGGGAACCTTGTGCTCCCTTAAATGATATAAAAGTTGTGCAAGGGCATCCCAACTTGCTGTGTCATATTTCACCCAAGACAAAGTAAGATTAAAAACAAAAACTGTCCTTTTAAAATACCAATGGTGGTCTTTTCTTTCTTACTCGTTATTTGTATTTTTATCTTTATATTATGAGTTTATCCTTACACTTTGTTTTGGTTCTGTTGGGTTTTCCAGTTTGTGAAGCACAGAAGGAGTGGGTGCAGAGATCACTGATGCAAGGGTTGATAGGGAACTTAGGGGTGGGGGTGGAGATAGGGAGGGTGAGAGGACTTGGGGAGTAAACAATGAAGGGGGAGGGGGAGCACTAGAACCGAATGTGATTACATAAGTAATTTTAAAGGTGACTTAACCGTAAAAAAAGAAAAAGAAAACTTTCTAAAATTGATTGTGATAATGATTGTACAATTTTTATTGATATGATCAAACTTTTGAATTGTTTGGTATGTGGATTATGTGCCAATAAAACTGTAAAAAATTAAAATAAAAAATTATCAGATTTGTTAATATCTGATCGTCTTAAATGCACCCACTCTTGGATCAAGAACTCGGCTTCTGGAAATGACCTTGAGGATCCCGTGTATACAAAGACACACTCGAGGAGACTCCCTACAGAAGATGAAGACCAAAAGCAACAGGGCACTGATTACACTGCGCCCGCACGACTGTGAAAACTCCTGAGCTGGTCAGCATGTACACGCTGATGTGGAACAACTTCAGACATAGGGTGAAGTAACAAGCCAAATGTAGAAATACATATAGCATGCTCACGGATGTATCCAAAGAGCCTCCTGAGGAAATGGTGTGAAGGTAACATTTCGCCTCCTCTGCCTTCAGCAGAGAAAGAGAATCCAAGCCCCCCTCACCACAAGGTCAATGGCCACAAGGCTGGGATCAGACATGCCTCCCTCTACACTCCATCCTCCTTTACCCTATTCTGAAACCAACCGTTCCTCCTAGGGCCCTCACTCTACCTCTCTGCTGGCTTTGGTCATCTGCAGTGGACACACAGAACTCACAGAAAACACTCGCAACGGTGGCTGCTTTAGAGGAGTGAACACAAGCCAGGATCCGAAAACATTAAGGATTCAGTCAGTGGTTCCCAGCAACGCCTGTCCTCTGTTAGCAACCTGGTCC